ACCCACCGGGATGGCAGTCCGTCAGGATCAAGATGAAGGGATGAGGGAGTTGGAGATGGAGATGGAAGGGACAGCGCCTCAATGCAGACTCAACACACACATACTCCAAACTGTGCAAATGAAGAATGAGACTGAAAACGAATTGCAGTTGGGGTATACCCCCGGTGGACTGACGGGACTGAACTGGACTCGCCAGGAACCGACAGTGCTACCGGGCAGGACCGGACTGGACTGGCCTGGTACCGACAGTGGTACCAGGCATGACTGACTGAATGAGCACAGGGTCTGTGGGGTTAGGCCATGGTCCGGTCCCAAAGGCCGAACATGCAAAATAGCCAGATAGCCCTAGCTCTAGGCCAAGGCAGCCAGAGGCACGCTGCACAATTCTCAGACTTGTAGTGGATCGCGAGAGCACAAACACGATTCCGCAAAAGCAGCGGAACTCTGTAAAAATAAAGCTGACAAATTTAGGATCCGAAGTCCATGTGATGCAGCCTAAGCTACATAATGTCAGAGCAAAAGTAAATGTCTCATGTACACATCCTAGTCAAGGTGTTGTCACATCTCACGGACGTGAGATTTTGTACCACTCCATCGCCTCCCATAGCGGCTGTTCAAATGAAGGGAATACACCCTCCTTCCTATGCTGCTCGCTGGTCGTATCCCAACACGACGACTCTCTGAAACCACCACACTTGTCCCTTATAATGCGCAGCTTGTTAGTAAACTCCGACCATTTTTTCCTGCAGTCCTCCATTGTTCTGTTTCATCCTATGTCCGACATTCCCTTCGCCACCCACTCATTCCTCTCCGATCTTTTCATACATTTGTGCCTCCCACTTGCACTTTCCATGAGTGCGTCGTCCTCCCTCGTGCACTCTGCCGGGCCAGATCCACTTTCTCCTCAAACACCCAAGGCTTGTTCTTTTTTGTGCTATCCGTCGGAGTGGCTTGTGAAGGCTTACCGGCATCCTCAGTGGACCTCCCGCTTGCGACATACTGCATGGCAGCGCCATCTGCAGTGCTCATGTCCATCTCTCTAGCACCATCGACGGACATGTCATCATTGTCGTTGTCCACGACGACAAAATCATCGTCCACTGTCGCAGAGGGCCTCGCAGGGGGTGTTACAGGACGACCTCGCCTTCGTGGTGGAAATGTGGAGACATCGCTACCGTACCCGCGGTTAGACGGTGTATGTGCAGGACGACCGTCAACATCATGTGACACCATGCTAAAGACAAAGCCATCAATCGCTGAAAAATATGACGACCTCTCTACCCCCTGCGCACGCCAAGTCCTGCCCGCGCTTTGCATATCACTAGTACGAGGAGGGACCCCGAACTGCATGCTCGCCCATGTGATTTCCACACCGAAGTCACGTTGTCGGAAGACGGTGCGGCGCAGCAGCGGAAAATAACTCGCCGCAGTCAACCCCGCACTGCGTCTAAATTGCGCCTAGGGGCGTCCACCGTCATGGTCAAACTGGACCCTAGCGCGTCGGCTAGATTTCCCCTGGGCCGAAATCAAGGGAAAAACGGTGCGGCGGTACGGTCCGCCGGAGACCTAATCGTCCCCGTTGGACTGGACCAACGCGACCGCAATGGGCCAGTTAGTGGGGTCCGGGCCAAACGACACCTGAAATAGACCAAGGGTTAGCGAGATAATTAAGTTTGACCGGTTGGGACCAGACCGACACGACCGCGTAGCCCGGCCAGGAAAAAAACAGCCCTAAGTAGCCATATAGATGAGCAGCCAGGCCCAAATAATTAAAATAGGGCCATGTACTATTTTCAGCTCGGGACTGACTGTTCGTCTCCCAAAGTCGGGCCTGCGCCAGTCCCTTTCTAAAAATAGCCCAGCCCCACGCTATTTTTAGCATGGGACTGACTGTTCATCTACCGGGAACTGGGCCTGCGCCAGTCCCGTTCTAAAAATAGGACTGACTGTTCATATCCCGGGGTCGGGACTGCTGCTATTTTTAGCACAGGCCCGGACTAGAGTTTGACCGCAGCCCCGACCATGGGACTGCAGCACAGCCCCGACTTCTTGGCCTCTCCATTATAAAAGAGAGGCCACGTCACCCAACAACACACGGGAGAGATCAGTATGCGTGACACACGTGGCACGGATCAGGCAGCGTGAGTGAACCCTCACTTTGTGGAAGCACTGCATCATTGGCAGAACGGCGAGGAGCGGAAGGCACGGTCGAACAACAGAAAAATTTTGGTATTTTCGGGAATCAAGTTTGACTCCTTTCTTGTCGAAGTTCTACTGTATACCAACAGTTGTTCATGTGTTGTTATGGAAGGAATCCCTATTTTCATCAGGAAGTCAATTAAACCAACATTGGTCCTGCAGTCAGTCAGGGGCCATCACGAAGAACAACAAAAACTCTACGTTAAAACTTTGTTGGTCCAACGTTGAAAAACATGTTGGACTATTGTTGGTCTGTTGTTGGATTCTTGTTGAACTCTTGTTGAACTCTTGTTGAACTCTTTTTGAAAAACTGTTGAACTCTTGTTGATCAACATTGGTGTGTATTTTCAAAAAAATAAAATAAAAACAAATATTAATTTTATCATTAATTATGACACTTGTAAATTATTGTTGCTCTTATTTATGTTTTCATTTGCAGATGTGATACGTAATTATGGACAATGACAAATGACAAAAATATTTATAAAAATTGAATCGCATGTATTATCAAGGTTTTTCATTTTTTTGCAGACCCTAAGATATGTTAGCAATCGTGTGACGTCTCTAGTATTATATTCACTCTGAGTTGTCAAACGACTGCAGGTTTTAGAGCACAACTTAATAGAGGCTCTCTCTTCATGCATTAACTCTTTCTCTCTCTCTCTCTCTTTTTTTTTCTCTCTCTCTCTCTCTCTCTCTCTCTCTCTCTCTCTCTCTCTCTCTTTCTCTCTCTCTCTCTCTCTTTTCAAGCAATAAATTATTGATCATATTATTTTTTTACAACGGGGGTTGATATACACTTTCAGGCAGCACTTCGTGCACAGGTAGTTGACTCGGGGGTGTTGCAAAACATCAGTTTCTTATTGACTGGTTACAAAGCTTTGCAAACTAGCGAGAGTTCACTGAGTTGGAATTTATTGTTCGTTGCCAAAACCTGTTTGTTTGTCGACAAACTCAACAAAATAATAACAAGTCCTAGAGGATAATGAGCCTTGTAGAGCCGATAAAAGTGCTGTAAATAATTGTGTTACTTACAAGAAGAACCAACTAGGATATAACATCATTCAAAAACATAACAAAAGAAAACACCTCTGATATTTCTATTTAAACTGGTGTGGGTGAGTGATAGTCTACTTTGATTTTGGTTAAGGTAGATTATCATTTACAGTGTAATCAGTGAGGGGATTCTGCAGACTGTTAAGGGTTCAGCCTCCTGATG